TGTAAGGTTGCGGTTCAGTTCTGAAAGGAAGGTCATAAAACTCTTAGGCAGCGGGTAGCTTCAGATAATTAGAGAAATGAGCTTCAGATGATTAGGGAAATGATCCTCAGATGATTAAGAAAATGGTATTGCTAATTGGAGGTAATTTGACGAGGGTATATGTTTCAGAAAAAGGCAATGTGATTAAGTTGAGGGTACCTCGGTAGTATTGCGGCACTTTCTTGTGGATCGACTACTTATTCGAGTTTGCTTGGTGGCATAGAAGAATTATAGTAGTACCTCTCATGGATGATTGGGTATTAGAGGTGTGTTGTATACTCCGACGGTGGAATTGGGATCGGATATGGTGATGCGTGTGCTATATGTAGTTGGAGACTGGGAGTTCTCATAAACAGGTTATGTTGTGGTCGTGGGTCGCGTGTATCGGCACTGTTTAGCGACTATCAGAGTTTGGAGACCCGAGTGGATCTTTTGTTGCTTGGTAGGTCAGATTATGGACTTGATATTGGGTGCAGATTGGTGGTCTCCGTGCTATGTTATTCTGGGCTATTGTGCTAAGGTGGCGCTATTGGCTATGCCGGGAATGCCACGAAATGAGTGGCGAGGTTCAGCAGATTATGTTCTTGGTAGAGTGGTTTCATATTTCAAAGACCTAGCGGAGGGCTGGAAAGGATTGTCTGCCTTGTTTGGGCTCTCGTGATGGATGTCAGTGTAGAGGCTCTTCATATTGATTCAATTCCGGTGGTGAGGAACTTCTCAGAAGTGTTTCTGGTGGTAGGGCATGTCGCCAGGCAAGGTTGTTGATTTCGGTATTGATTTGACGTCGGGAACCGTACCGTCTGGCACTGGTAGAGTTAAGGGAGTCGAGGGAGCAGCTTCAGGGTTACCTTGATAAGAGGTCTGTTGGCAGGCCAATGTGGATGTGTGTTCTAATTCGAGTCGGCTTGGTTGGCTCCGAATTGCATTATTGAGGGGATGTGTTGATTCGACTGTTATTGAGCTTATTAGTAATCTGGGGAGGTCTATGAGTTACCTTTCTGTGTCGCGAGGTGTTATGATTTGTGGGTTATAGGCACATATGGTGCGGTTCAATTGGGTGTTGCTCGATGAATGGAGTATCGGTTATGTCCTTTCGGGTTGTATGGTGTTAGGTATTTGCTTCACCGTGAGGATGATGATTTATGTTTTGGTTCCAGACATCAAGTTGTGTATGGTTGTCTATTTCGAGCATGGGGAGCTTGAGGTTCAGCTCTTTCAGTTGAATTATTTTCATAATTTGAGTATGTTCGGATTGTTGCTTATTGGTGCGCGTATTGTGCAAGTTGTGACTTTAGTCTGTATTGAGGTGTCATGTCACCAGAGTAGTTGTGTTGGAATTAGATAAGGTCGTTGGGATCTTTAATGAATACAACGGATTCGATTTCAGCATGTTGGAAGGATAATATCGAGGTTCGGCTCGGAAATTTGCTATGGTCTTTGCCGAAGGAGAAGTGGCTTCATGAATGGTTGATCTAAGAAATGGTTATGGCTTACTGTGTGTTTTATTTATCATTGGCAGTATATGAAAGTGTTGGAATGGGACTTTAGTGGATAAGAGGTTTCTACCGGTATTCGGTTGTTGTGTGCGGCTGTTAAGATTAGAAGTTATCGCTGCAAGCGTTTGGTTGTGTGGTATATCATGCAATTTCATCTGAGGTTGCAGGTATGGGTTATTACAGCTCGGTCTTACTCACGGTATAAATGCGGGAATCTTATCGTTGAAGATTTCAGAAGTGGAAAAGTGGTTCTATGGCTTATGGGCTAGATTGGATTGTGAAATTTCAGTTATGATGTGTTATCAGACCTATATGAGATAGGGTGACGTGGGATCACCCCCGGGTATGCGCATGGTAAGGTTATTCAGCAATTGATCGGCTTTTGGAACAACTCTGGGCACGTTCGAGGACGAATATATGTTTAAGTGGGGGAGGATGTAACGACCCGACCGGTCGTTTTGAGTTTTTGCACTTTGATCGCCAGTTCTCGGGCAATGTGTGCCCCGTGTAGTATATTACGACTTATGTAAACCGTCGGTTTTGGTCTTCAGGGTAATCGGAATGAATTTGGAAGAACAGTTCTCAGTTTGAAGCTTGAAATTTGAAAGGTTTGACCAAGATTTGACTTGTTTGTATATGATTTCGGATCGGAATTTTTATGATTTGGTTAGCTCCGTCAGGTGATTTGAGACTTGGGAGCGTGATCGGAATGCATTTTGGAAGTCTGTGGGAGGTTTAGGCTTGAATTGGCGAAATTTAGATGTTGGCGTTTTCCAGTTGTTAGGTGAGATTTTGATATAGAGGTCGGAATGGAATTCCGGAAGTTGCAAGTTCCGCTATGTCATTTGGGATGTGCGTGCAAAATTTCAGGTCATTCAGACGTGGCTTGGTTGGCTTTTTGATCAAAAACGGAATTCGGAAGATTTTAGAAAGTTTGGCTTGAATCCGATGTGTTTTGGTTGATTTAATGTTATTTGAGGTGTTTTGAAAATTGGAACAAGTTTGGATACGGTATTAGGATATATTTGTGCTTTTGGTTGAGGCCCCGGGGGTCTCGGGGTGATTCGGGTGCTTAACGGAGAAGTTAGATGTTGATTGTAGCTTCAGATTTGCTGCTTCTGGTATTTTCGCATCTGCGGTTTGGGGACCGCAGATGCGGCGCCGCAGATGCGGGTGATTTATCGCAGAAGCGAAACAGGGTCAGATGGGCAGAGACCGCAGAAGCGGTATGGTGACCGCATGTGCGATGTCGCAGATGCGGGAGTTTAGTCGCAGAAGCGGTTTTGGTCCCATAAGTGATTCCGCATAAGCGGATTTTAGACCGCAAATGCGGAAAGGCCTGGGCAGAGCATATATGTTATTTCATTTCGCAAGTTTGGGTTATTTCACCATTTTTGACTTCGGCTTGAGAGCTTTTGGACGATTTGGAAGGAGAATTTCAAGGGAACTTCATTAAGGTAAGGATTTTGGACCTAAAATACAATTCTATGGTAGCATTTCATGAAATTAGAGCTGTAATTAAAGGAATTAAAGGGCAAAAATGGAGGATTAGGGCTTGAGTTTAAGAGGCCTTTAAATGGGGATTTGAGGGGTCATTGGACTCCGATTTTAGTATTTTTAATATGTACGAACTCGTGGGGAGATAAGGAACCCGTTGGTGTGAAAATTTCTGAATTTCGAGACGTGGGCCCGGGGGTCGGGTTTTGGTAATTTCGGAATTTGTGCCCTTTATTGATTGTTTTCGCTTGGGCTTTGTTCCCTTGGCATATTTTGTCGTCCTCGTTCTGATTTTGGATAGATTCGACGCGCGTGGAGGCCAATTCGAGGGGCAAAGGCGTCGCGAGCTAGAGATTTAGCCGGTTCGAGGTGAGTAATGCTTGTAAATGATGTTCTGCGGGTTTGAAACCCCGGATTCACATCGTAGTGCTATATTGAGGTGAGGCACACGCTTGATGTCGAGCGTGGGATCATGCACTATTGGGGATTGTGACTGGTTCCGTCCCGATTGATGATTTTACCGCGTATTTGATTGAAATCTATATGCTATCATCATTATTTGGGCTGAACGCCATATCTGGGCTTCGTGCCAATTATTTGAACCCTTCGGGGATTGTTGTTGATATTTCCTCACTATTTTAACCTTATACTTGAACTCAGTTATGTTATTTCTAGTGTTTTCAAAACTCAGCCATGTTCACTCAGTTTTAATACTCAAATGACTTTTTGGGCTGAGAAACACTGTTTTACTATTGCCCGAGGGGCATATGCAATTTTTGACTGAGTAAGGCCGAGGGCCTGTGTTGTGAGGATATCTTTTGGGTCGGGCTGCACGCTGCGGCGGTGATACACTGATTTTGGTTATGAGGCCGAGGGCCTGAGATTGTACGCCACGAGGTGGCTTGATATTGATATGTGGCCGAGAGCCCGTTTATGATGCCACGAGATGGCTTGTTATTTGCGCTTGGGCCGTAAGGGGCCCCTCTAGGAGTCTGCACACCCTCAGTGAGCGCGGGTACCCATTGTGATGTGAGATATAGCCCGAGGGGCTGGTATTGTTCTATGTGTTGCCCGAGGGGCTGGTACTGTTCTATGTGATTGCCCGAAGGGTTGGTATTGTTCTGAGATATTGCTCGAGGGGCGGAGTTGTTGACATTGTGCCCGAGGGGCGAACCTTTATGCGTTTATCTTTCATATTTACCTGTTATTTACCTGTTTAATTGTGTATTTGTGCTCGAGGGGCGGATTTCTCTGCTTATCTACACTAGTTGTTCTGTATTCGTTTGCGTAACTGTTGAAAAAGTCATTTTCAAAGGAGTTTAAACTGAGTTAAGATGTTTTAAGGGATTTTACAGCTTCAGTGCTTTCTTACTGGTTTTTGAACTGCTTCTATACAGCATGTTGATGCACTTTTCGTGATTTCTTACCACTCAGTCTTTATTTATGATTATTACTCACTGAGTTGGAAGTACTCACTTTACTCCCTGCACCTTATGTGCAGATTCAGGTATTTTCTGAACCTGGTAGCGGGTATTGGTTGATCGGAGGCAGAGTCACCGGAGTTTAGCAAGGTAGCTGCCGGCGTTCGCAGCACTGCTTTCCTCCCTCTTTATTCCATTAGTCTGTACTTAGTACATTTCAGACTTTGTCAGTTGTATTTAGACATTAGTAGATGCTCATGACTAGTGACACCCCGGTTTTGGGTTGTGTTTGGGTTGTATATTTCATTGTTATGATATTATCTGCTACTTAGTACTATTAAATCATATTTTAGCCAGTTTTATTGCTGTTTAGGTATTTGACTTCGAATTGGAATTGTGTCGGCTGGCCTTGTCTTCACGAGAGGCGCCATCACGACCGGGTCTGGTTTAGGGTCGTGACACATTTATTTGCAGTTAATGAAGGTCTGAATCTTAAATATTAGTCAGATGCTAAAAGCTCTTCCTTTTCTTGATGCATGTTATTTTTCTTATTAGCACATCCAAAAAAAAAAAAAAACTAGAGTTTTCTTTACACAAGGATAAAAGGTGCTTATGGAGTTGAGGTCCAAAATTAAGAACCTTAAGAAAGTTGTATTACATATACAAAATACTATAAGGGTTGTTCAACAAGTTGATCTACTAGCTCCTCCAACAACTGATCAAGAATTTTTAATCCTATGCCCCCAACGATCTCCTTGCAGTATTCAAAATTGCAAATCTCTTTCTGTAGCCAGTTTCTTTCCACCGTCTCTCTGTCTGCCAATATGCTGAAACCACTCCATATTTGTACGCAATTTTCAGAATGCTTGTACTCCTTCTTCCATGATTCAGCACAAATTCTTTCACTTTTCTTGGCTTCTACTCCATTATTATCACCTGCAGTCAGTTTCAGCTTCCTGTAATTTTCAAGTTCCTCGGTCAGTGTTCTCCTTGATCTTGAACTTGTCAACCTAAAGAACTTCTCTGATAACGACATTCAAATAAAGATGCACATTAGTTAATAAAGAAAAAAAGAGAATGCAACACAATCTAAAATTATGAAGCACAAGCGTAACTACCTGAATTTTGGGTCTCAGCAAAATAAAGAACTGAATTTGGGCTTGATTTCTCTGAATCAGATTGTGTTAGGGTTTTTTCTACAGCAAAGCTTTCACGTTTTTTCTTCTTTTTCTTCCTCGTTATCTTTGCTCCTTCATAGTCTTCCATCCCAACAGATATACTCTGAAGAAATTTATCTGTTGGTCTAAGGACGTTGGTTGAATCTTTAAGTACTGTAAACTTCTGAGGAGCCTTGTGCATGAGGATCACTTTGTTATTCAGCTTCTCTTTTCTTCTCTGCTTTGTTTCTGCAAAATTATTTTTCCTCTGTTTCGACATAATCTCTCTGCTTTCAAAGCTGAGAATAAAGAAATTCTCATCTTCAAGCTCCAAGTAGGTTGGTGGATTTCTCCCTTTTATTTCTCTCAACAAATCAACGGAATTCATAGAGCGGCTTCGGGAGATTGGTCTGGTATTGCTTGCCTTTGCATGATCCAAGCTAAAAGGCGGCATCGATTCTAACCCCATCAGCCTTGCCACAACCCCAGGCGGTTTTAAGGACAGTCCATCAGCTTCTGCTTCTTTAGTACGATCACAGTAGTGGTACGTTGTAGACAGACTAATATGATCTGAGGGATGAGTTGGAAGACTGTTGGAGCAAAGAAGGCGACGCAACATCCCAGAAATGCAACTTACCTTGGAAGTATAATTAGCATTGCTTGAAGTGGTGGAAACAGAGGATGAAGATAACAATTTCATTGTCAACTCACCAAGTGTATGTATGACTAGTGTGAAGGTAACAAGTAGTATTACCGAAAACAGAAAAAGGAAAAGGTAAGAAAAGCTGGGGTTGGAAGCTATACTTTTTTTCTCTTTTTCAAAGATGAGAGAAAACGAGGAAAAGCACAGTGGAGAAAAGTGAGATTTTGAATTGGGGAGACAGGTGTGTAATGGTAATGGTGGCGGGCTTTACGTTTGAAAGTTTTAGGCAGTAAAAGAGGGGGTTGAAAGAGAAAGGAAGGAGTAGATGTTCCCACGCGGGCCGAGCAGTCAATTTTGATGCTATTTGTCTTCATCAAATAGGACCAACCATGTTACTACTAGTCACTAACATCCACTATGCTTCCTAATCATAATAGCATCCTGTAAAGGTTGAACCTCCAAATTAATGCAAGAATGATGTGAGTTGCATTTGTTCTTCTTGAGTTCCACAAAATGCTAAACACAATCATTCTCTTTTTTATTTTACGTGATACTCCTTTCGTTTCAATTTATGTGAACCTATTTGACTCGACACAAAATTTAAGAAAAAATAAATTTTTTTGGAATTTGCGATCCTAAACAAGTCAAAAAGAGGTCCAGAGTATTTGTATGGTTATAAAGCTTCTCATTAAGGGTAAAATATGAAGTTTAACCTAAATTGTTTCTAAATTTAGAAATGGGTCATTCTTTTTGGAACAGACAAAAAAGGAAATAGGTTTACATAAACTAGAATGGAAGGACTATTATTTTATTATTAATCTTCTTTAAATAAAAATTTTATAGTTAAAAATAATTTAATTTTAAAATATTTATTTTATTCTTAATGCATTGATTTTGCAAGTGTACAAGTGTTATTGTATGTTTAAAACTATAAGTTCTAACTTTTTTTTATTTCTCCATGAGATTAAACATGTTCACACAAAATGAATCGATGAAGTCCGATGACTATCATGAAGGTTTGACTTGTTACGCTCATTTCGTGTGATTTTAAATATATAATACTATATAAGCTTGAAAACATTGATTTGATATATAAGTGAACAAGTTTGTCTCTTTTATTTTAATTTTATTTTTGTGAAGCGAACAATAATTTTTCATATTTTATTGGCAGAATGGCTTCTTAGCCACTTAGACTTGTAGGGCATTTGAAAACCAATACATGAACTTTAAACGTTTCCATTTGAACACTCGAACTCATGATTCCCTTAACTAATAAACACATTTGACCGTTGACCATGCCTATGTGACAGTGACAAATGTGATGTGAACAAAATGCGTGTCAATCACGCAGAAAATGCGCGTAAATGCAATAATCCGATTAAAGAAAATACTTTATCATTAGGGAACAAAATTAAAAAATAAAAAAGAAAAGGAAAAAAAGACCCCTAGCGTGTCAGTACTCATTTCCGCTCTCTTGCTTCCCTTCAACTTAAGCGAAGAGAGAGAGAGAGAGATCATCAGAGAGTTTAATTCCGTCTAAAGTCGATATGAAGATTGTGTAGTTTTTTATTTTGGAGTTTCTAGAAAAAAATGGGGTTATATGATTGGTTGCCGGCGAAGTGGAGGTGGCGGCCATTGGAGTTTTCTGGTGGTCAAAAAGCACTCACCACTCTAAACCACCGATGGTGTGAAGAAAATCCTATCATCGAATTCATCTTCGTCAAAATACAAAAAGGCAGATATTTACAATAGTATTAGGCGGCCTCCATTGTTTCAAAACCATGGATTCCTATTGATTTTTTCTGAAATTCCAAAATTAATTTTTTTTTCTAGTCTAACCATGAGCATAGTGATGCTGTGAATTTGATTGGAAAATTACCAGCTATGTCCATTTATAGGTAGCTCATTACAAAAATTGGCCAATTGATAAAATATTACTAATATTAGCCAAATTAGCCAATTAGCTATTTGTAGCAAAAAAATATCAAATTTTTACTTTGTTTTGAGTGAGTGTTATAAGAATAGATTGGGCACAACTTAAGGACCTTGAATCTCAGTTTTGGGATGATTTGGTGAAGTTTTGAGGTGGTTTGAATTGAAAATTCGAAATAAAAGCTGAACATGAAAAAAAAATGATATGTGTATCACACCGTGTATCATTTGTGTATCACATATGTATCATATTTGTATCAATTGTGTATCACATGTATATCCATGTATACCTGTGTGTGAGATACATGCGTGATACATGTTTGATACATGTGTCGCAGAAGACTTTTTGAACTCGATTTAATTATGAATTTTGATACAAGACCACTCCAAATCACATCCAATCTTCCTCAAATTTTGTATATTGACTTATCTATATATTTTCAATGAATTTCAACTATACCCATTGAAAAAGTTCCTTTTTTGTTTAGATTTTTGGAATATTTGTATAGATTTTTGTATTTCATCACCTTATTTGCTACCTCGTCCATGAAATTTTTGTTGGCTAGTTTTGGTATGTCTATGACTAATGGCTAGAGGTTGGTAAGTTGAGATTTATTTGGGACATTTGTGTAAGTTTCCCAATTTGATTTAGAAATAAGAGCGAGAAATAACATTGAAGAAAAAGAGAAAGAGGAAGAATAAAAATAAGGAAAGGAATGGAGATGGCTAAACGGAGAAGAAGGGAGATAGGTGGGTACGGGTTACTGGTGTAGTAGAGAAGTGTCAGGTCTTTTTCCTCTCTTTCTTTTTTCTTTTTTTGATTTGTAACTTCTTTTTTGCTGATTTAGTATTTAAAAATAGGACCCATAAATAACACATGTCAAGTTATAAATAGTCTAGTATATGACGTGTTGTACATGTTAGCGCAATTGATATACACGCACCATTGGATGTATTTATTAGTACTCATTCTATCAAGTTGGAGTGTTCAGATGGGAAAGTTTAAAGTTTATGTATCGGCTTTCAAATACCCTACAAGTCTAAGTGGCGAGGAAGTCATTCCGCCTATTTTATTAGATCGTGAATCTAATTTTACCATCTTTCAACTTTTTTGAAATCAAAAGATACATGGAAATGAAAAATAAAGCCAACAAAGATTTTAAGCTTATTAGAAAAAGGACAAGTGAAAAGTGAATAGAGAAATAGCTCGTACTTATCTTTTTGTTTTTTTCATTTTCTTAATTTCCTTGTTGTATCAGTTTGTATGTCAAGCATAATTATAAGAAATTTAGTCACTTGAAAGAAGTAAACGCATGTATGCAGTGATAAAAGAATTAAGATGAAATAAATTAATACTCGAAGGGGATTACATTATAGTTTTGTTTAAAACAAAAGAAGGAAGCTAGATTAATGTAAGTGATATATATGCTACATATATTAAACTTTAGAAAGGTTTGTGTAATTCTCCCTAAATACTGCTCCTACAATTTAACTCAAATTCTAAACGGCCAAGTCGCACTCCTCCCCAAACTAAGCCCCATAAATAAAGAAGTATGCCCTTAGGGGTCGTTTGGTAGGGTGCATAAGAATAATGTTGAATAGGGTGTATTAGTAATGTATGGATTAGTAATGCAAGTATTAGTTATGCAGAGATTATTTTTTTTACATTGTTTGGTGTGGTGTATTAAAAATTAAAATGCATTGCATAATTTTTAAATAAATTAGTTGTTTACAAAAATGCCCTCTATATTCTTAGCTTTAAGGGAATTTAAGGACAATTTTGCCTTTAATCATGCTAATGTATGCATTAATAGACTATTGGTATTACTAATATCATGGTTTTCTATGTATTAGTTATACATAGGATAATACCAAATAGAGTGTATAACTAATGCTTGTATTAGTTATACATATATTAGAAAAGTGTACCAAAGAAAGTATTCCTAATACACAAAGCTAATGCATAAATTATTTTCTCTAATACACTCCACCAAACGACCTCTTACAGGGTGTTTGGCTAAGCTTATAAGCTGGTTAAACTGGCTTATAAGCACTTTTTGGCTTATCTACGCGTTTGGTAAAATTAAAAATGCTTATAAGTTAAGTGCTTATAAGCCAAAAATAAGCCAAAAGCCATAAGTTGGTCTCCCCCAATTTATCAAATTTCAGCTTATAAGCAGTTTAAGTTTGACCAAAATATTTACTATTCTATCCCTAAAAAATTTCTTTTTAAAACAAAACTCTTCGTATACCCAGTTCTTTAGATGCATATTATTAATTTCAGTACTTTTATCTAAACACGTAACTACTTATTTTTTAAATCAGTTTCAGCACTTAAAAGTGCTTTTCAACACCTAATGCTTATCAGCTACTCTAAATCAGCTAAGTCAAACAGACTCTTAGTGACATGAAGAGTTATAGAGGACTATAGAGGACAAAGGAATATTCTCTAAATGCAAATATTAGGGGGATGGAGTTGGGGTGGCCGCCCCTCGCCCCCTCCTACTGTCCCTTTAGCTTTGCCACTCATATTACATTTACAACTTGATGAGTGCAAGTAGCAGAACACTTTCCATTAACAGTGAAAAGGTACAGCAATCCCACCAAAGTGGTACGAGTTTTGACAATCAAGTGCATTAAACATGAACACGAAGTGTCTAAATCTCACCGAAAACTAATAACCGTTGAGTCTCAACTTGCACAACCTAAGCTCAAGGTAGATAGATCCGTATGACTCGAAGGGGAGATTCGCCAAAAAAATATATTTCGGAAATAAGATAATTCTTTTTTTGAAAAATATAAATCCTTGAATTGTTTTCACGTTAAAAAAAAAAAAAAGATACGATGGCGGCTCAGATATTACTTTATATGGCAAGTTTAAGTCTCAATTTTAGTCTTTCACTTTTTTGAATCCCTTTTACCCTAAAAATCGAGTAACAATTAAACTTGTAATGTGGTTTTAAGGATACGCGATTTCACTTAATACCAATTTATTAACTTAAAGATAAATGATGCGAATTGACAAGAATGTAAAACTAACCAATGCTTGGACAATGCCTTCGAGCTGATGAACCCTCGAGAATAGTGAAATAAGAACAATTAAAGAACAATAAACTGATAAACAATAGAGAAATATTATATTGCCTTGATCTGTATGAATGTACGGTGTTTACAAATGATGCGGACCCCTCTTTATATACTAGAGGATTCCCAACTGTGGTACAATTCTAATTATGGAAATAAATCCCATGATTGAAATAAATAACCGCCTTGATTCGATCGGTTCCGATATTTCCGCTGTGATCTCTGACCGGTTACGCGTCTTTCCGTTATTGAGCTTCGCTTGTAGCTGATCATATCTGGTCTCGATCGTCGGGGACCTCGATCTCGATGGGTACCTCGATCTCCGAACTCGGTACCTTGTCTTCGTGCTCAGGCCAGATCCGTT